TTTTTGGCAAATTTGGTCTGAGACCCTGTACTATAGTACAGGGTCACGGGCCAAATTTTAATGAAAATGGCTAGGAGACAATTCTCCATTTTTATTATATTTTCTGATGCATATACATGTACTTATGCTGTGTAGAAAGTTTGAGCTCATTCCAATCAAAATTGGATTTTTTACAAATTTTTAAATTTGCTCCAAAATCAGGTAAAAGTCCCTGTACTATAGTACAGGGATGTTAGCCAAAATTTGCCAAAAATGAAAAGGAGAGAATTCTCCATTTTTATTATATTTTCTGATGCATATACATGTACTTATGTTGCGTAGAAAATTTGAGCTGATTCCGATCAAAATTGGATTTTCTACAAATTTTTTAATTTGCTCCAAAATCAGGTAAAAGCCCCTGTACTATAGTACAGGGATGTTAGCCAAAATTTGCCAAAAATAAAAAAAGAGAATTTTTCATTTTTATTATATTTTCTGATACATATACATGTACTTATGTAGTGTAGAAAGTTTGAGCTCATTCCAATCAAAATTGGACTTTTTACAATTTTTTAAAGTTGCTCCAAAGTTGGGTAAAAGTCTCTGTACTATAGTACAGGGACTTTGGCCGAATTTTGCCAAAAATGACATAGTCAGAATTCTCAATTTTTATGTCATTTTCTGATGCATATACATGTTTTTATGTTGTGTAGAAAGTTTGGATTTTATATGAATTTTTGCTAGAGACATAACCACCATTTTATTTCTCTCTCTTCTAGCTCAGCTGAGGATGAGGTTGTCAAGAGACTTACGAGTCAGTTTTCAGCTGAAACTCAAACCCGTGACGACGAAACACACATGTAACGTATCACTCCACCTTTTTCCAATGTCCATCTTCTCCTATTATTCTTCTCCCCCTCTCTCTCTCTCCTCTGTAGGTTAAAATACATTGATGATGAAATTGCTAGGAGGAAGGGAAAACAAGATGAGGAGACCGTACTGTCTGAGTTAGTATCATTAATATAATAAATTATAATGGATAATAATGAAATCATATATGCATGTATAAAGATAGTACCTTATGAAAATCTAAATATGAACATTATATATATTATTAGTTGCAGCTTTATCTTAAGCTGCTACCATTGTTCTATAGGTATGAAGCTAAGATTGCTTCGTTATACAAGATACCAGAAAAGTATCAAGTTGAGGATTCCAAGCGGTCGGAAGACATGCTCTCAAATCAAATGCTGTCTGGCATACCAGAAGTAGACCTTGGGCTGGAGTAAGTGTCTCTTTATTATTCAATGGATTATTAATAGTCTACTAGTGCCAAGTTTAAGAATATCGAAGAGACAGAGATAGCGAAAAAGAAAATGGCAGAAGACAAATTAAAAATGTGAGAATTAGCTCCATGTTTAGCATAATTAATTATTATTTGACATGATACAGGAAGGACAAGCAAACTTCCATGATACCCACTAACTTTGCATCTAATTTCACCCACCACAGCCTCAGATGTGAGTACACTATAATCCAACTTACATATTCTGCACATCTTACAGCAACATTATAGTACTTTATGTATCCTGGCTGCATTTGCAGTTACACACTTTTATTTTATTTCTCTATTCTATAGTTTTTAAAGACAGAGGCAGAGGTCATCATCGAAGAGGAGGAGGAGGAGGGAAGAGGTCACAAGAAGAGGAGGAGACTGAGTCACGTGACCAGCCATCGTTCATACCAGTGGTTGGGTCGTTTGATGAACCTGAACTCAAACCAACCACAAGAGACGAAGGAGGAGGTGGTCCTAATACTAAGAAGAGAAAACCTGGAGCTGATCACAGTCAGCTACCAACAGATGACTATCATTTTGATAAGTTTAGGAAGAAAGCAAAGTCTCACAGATGATAATTGATGTTTATTTTTAATTTAATGATCACTGCAAACAGGAAGATCTTGTCTCAAAAAAAAGAGTTTGGTATCAAAGGAGTAGCCCCATTCTGATAGCAGCATGGACTGCCATTCGCATTCCTTTCACTAAGACCATTCACCACCCCCTGTCCCAGCTCAGCACCAGATGCTTCTTTGCTGTTGGACCAGGTGGGAGGCTTTAGAGGGTCTCTTACAGCTGGTACTCTCTACCAAAGTGTCTGGGGACTTCCCTCAGAGTCCAGAGAGGACTCCGACAGCGAATCTCTTTGGTACCCACTGCATCATGCAACCATTACTTCGTTTTATACCTACTGTAAGTATTATTGAAAAGCCACTTGTGGGTTGCATTGCTGCAGAGACCTTAACTTTTATTAATAACTGGTCTGAGCATGCGCAGTAATAATACACGTCACACGTGGCAATTTTAATAGAATTCATAAGGATAACCTCTCTGTCTCTGCATTGACTGATTTCTTTCTCTTCATCATGGGTGCATTGCGAGCTCTGTTGTTATCAGTGTCTGCTGGTCTCGGGGTCTACCTGATGCTCAGTTTCCCTGGTTGGTTGGCTGGGGCACTGGGTCTACTGGGATTCCTTGGACTGGGAGGATGGCCCATCACTCGCATTGCTATCAAAACCTTACCCAGGGACCTGAGGTACCTTTGATAATTCATTTATTATGTGCTGTCCCCTTTAGTTATAAGTATATACTTATTTCTTGTGATTTGCTGTTGCTCTGACCCGTTGTGATTCACTTTCACTGTTGTCTTTGGGGAATTTTTATTTTTTAACTTGCAATTTAGTTTATCTGAAGTACATTATTTTTAAAATAAATTTGACAAAAAGAATTTAAAGTGGCAGCTTTTTTGACAATTACTATTACGTTTATGTGTTTGTTGTATTTTTCTTGTGTTTATGCATTTTATACATATTTTGATAGCTGCTATGAATACAGATCAAGTTTATTATTATTATTATTATTATTATTATTATTATTATTATTATTATTATTATTATTATTATTATTATTCTTGTTATTGTTTAGGGCTATTGTAAAGTTGTCAGGTATGGCAAGATACATTCGGGGTTGGAGTGGTAAGAGGGTCTCTGATGTGTTTCAATCAGTTGCTTCTTCTCAGCCTGAGAGTACAGCCATCTTATTTGAGGAACAGAAATGGACTTACCGTGATCTTGATAACTATTCTAATCAAATAGCTAATCTCTTTCAAGACGCTGGAGTCAAGCCCAATGAAACAGTTGTTATGGTAATGCAGAACTCTCCTCAGTTTATTGGTGTAGCGTTGGGTCTTAGTAAGATTGGGGCTACTGGTTCTTTCATTAATTTCAATCTCCGTGGTAACGCTCTAGTCCATTGTATAAAGATATGTAATCCAGTTGCTGTTATATTTGATGCTCCCTTCAGTGATGCCATTAATGATATTCGGGATCAGATTGATGCTAGACTTCAAGATCTTTGTTTTTCAATCAATGGAGATGATTCTAATAAAATATCTCGTTCCTTTGATACTGAGGTTCGTAAAATGCCCACTGACCCGCCCCCTCCTCTTAAAGAACCTTCCTCCAATAGTAAGTATTGTGACTGTCACGTGACTCTCTTATTAATTTTGAGGTTCTTTAGGTAAATTCTGTTTCATATACACGTCTGGCACCACTGGACTACCTAAAGCTGTTCCAATAAGACACCAGAAGTAAGCCTGGTCCTGGACCTAACAGATTTAGACTTTTATTTGAGTGTGTATCAATGCTTAGTGATATGGGTTTTAAAGGCTGTGATATTACAGATTAATAATACCATTACTTATTAATTAAACTAAATAAACTAAGCCTCCAGTCCTTATAAAAAATTTACACAATATTAAAGGCAGTATTATGTATGAATAATACATATTTTATAAAATGTACTCAATATTCATAGGTACATGACAATGGCCACTAGCTTAAGATTTGGTTCTGGTATGGTTAAAGATGATGTCATTTATTGTGCTCTGCCATTATACCATACCAATGGTGGGATATTGGGGGCTGGTCAGATGCTGCTATATGGTAACGCATTTGCTCTTAGACGCAAGTTCTCTGCCAGTAACTTCTGGAATGACTGCATCAAATATAAATGCACTGTAAGAACTGGTAGCAAGGACATCAATATAAATTGTATAATGATTGAAAATTTATTCTATTTTTATCACTAGGTTATTCAGTACATTGGTGAATTCTGTCGTTATCTTTTAGTACAACCTCCAAAACCAACTGATAAGCAGCACCTGGTCCGAATGGCAACCGGTAATGGACTCCGCCCTCACATATGGCAGGAATTTAAGGATCGTTTTAACATTCAAATTATTGCTGAGTTTTATGGATCCACTGAAGGGAATGCTAACATGCTAAATATGGAGGGTGTGGTTGGATCCTGTGGATTCAAATCAATGTTAGTTCCACCTGCTATACCGGTGTATTTAGTAAAGGTTGACCCAGAGACGGAAGAATTAGTTAAAGACTCAAATGGTTTCTGTGTGATGGCTGAAGTTGGTGAAAAAGGTGAACTAGTGGGTCGTATTAAGAACAACTTCTTACGTCGTTTTGACGGCTATGAGAACAAGGAGGCGACTAATAAGAAGATACTGACCGGTGTGTTCTCTCATGGTGACAGGTTCTTCAGGACAGGGGACATGATGATCATGGATACTTGGGGTAACTTTTATTTTGCTGATAGAACTGGGGACACTTTTCGCTGGAAAGGAGAGAATGTGTCTACATCAGAAGTTGAGACGCTAATGGCTAAAGCAGTGAAGAAAGAAATACACATTGCTGTCTTTGGAGTTGATGTTGCTAATTCAGAGGGTAAGGCTGGTATGGGTGTAGTTGAAGGTGATCCTGAGGCCATTGATGTTACTGGAGGTCTGGCAGGTGGTCTTTACGAGGTGCTTCCCTCTTATGCTGTCCCATTGTTCTTACGTTTTGTGAAAGAGATTGAAATGACCGGAACGCATAAATACAAGAAGACCTCTTATCGTAAAGAAGGATACGACCCGAGTATTGTTAGTGACCCGCTGTTTGTGTTGGATGTTAGTAAAAAGGTTTATGTGCCTCTTACCCAAGAGATACTGGAGGCCATTAAAGATGGAAAATGGCGGGTTTAGGACTGTAGAGTGTGTCTTTGATTTAAATTGATTAATAATTTTATTAGCACTATTGATACATGGATTAGTTGTGACTGTGTGTGTGAACTGAATTCAATCATTGTATGAATAATTTAAAATAATGAACGAGTAATTTACTTAATAACTAGTCTGAGTATGCGCAGTATGACACGCAGCCCTTTCGATCATTAAAATTAATTTCGCAGTTTGCTACGCAGCGATTGTCATCATGGGTGCATTAAGAGCTTTGTTGTTATCAGTGTCTGCTGGTGTCGGGGTCTACCTGATGCTCAGTTTCCCTGGTTGGTTGGCTGGGGCACTGGGTCTACTGGGATTCCTTGTACTAGGAGGATGGCCCATCACTAGCATTGCTATCAAAACCTTCCCCAGGGACCTCCGGTATAGCCTTTGTAGTCACTGTAGATATTATTTTGTCAGTGGTATGCTTTAATATCTGGTATGGTGGGGTATATAGGGAAATATTAATATGGCTGAAGTCATCAGTGGATATCTGCTCAATTAATGCACTGATTTATTTTCATTAGCATACTATGCATCATTAGTAATTATTAACCTAAATTAGATTAGTACACTGCTATGGGTTTGCAGGAAAGATTGTATTAATAACTCTCTCTTACTCCTACAGTGCTTTAGTGAAATTGTACTTTACGAAAAGGACCATTAGGGGTTGGAGTGGTAAGAGAGTCTCCGATGTGTTTCAATCAGTTGCTTCTTCTCAGCCTGAGAGTACAGCCATCTTATTTGAGGAACAGAAATGGACTTACCGTGATCTTGATAACTATTCTAATCAAGTTGCTAATCTCTTTCAAGATGCTGGAGTCAAGCCCAATGAAACAGTTGTTATGGTAATGCAGAACTCTCCTCAGTTTATTGGTGTGTCACTGGGTCTTAGTAAGATTGGGGCTACTGGTTCTTTCATTAATTTCAATCTCCGTGGTAACGCTCTAGTCCAC